TTTTTATTTTTTTAAGATTTTACTTCTTTGAGAGAGAGATAGAGAAAAAGAGAGCACAGGTACAAGTACGGGGAAAGGGGCAGAGGCAGAAGGAGAGGGAGACGCAGACTCCCCACTGAGCAGGGAGCCTCACTCAGGGCTCAATCCAAGGACTCTGGGATCGTGACCTGAGCCAAAGGCAGACACTTAACCAATTGAGTCTCCCAGGTGCCCCGTAAAAAAGTAATTAGAAAGAAAAGGCTTAAAAAGTTAAAAATTTAACCTACATTGTCAAAGATTACCAGGAGAGCTGTGTAGTTCTAGAATTTCCTTTACCAAGGGGTTGCCTTAAACAATATGGAGTTAGGTATCCCATGAGTTGCTAAGCTGGCTCCCTTGGTTTTGTTTTCAAACCTATAGGTACAGTCTACATCTGAGATGCTAGCGGCCATTGCAATTGGCCTTGAGTCCTGTGTATAAGTTAATAATATTTATATACATGGAACAGAGATGGGCGTGATGAGAATTAGCAAATGAAACATTTGACACAGAGTCTTGCACTCACAGGATGCAACTTGTATATATACACATCTTGAAACAGCCCCTATGTGGGAATGATAGTGTTGCTCCTATAAAAACCAGTGTGTGAAATGTTGCATAAGGGAACTCACCCTTCTGTATTTAAGGACCAAGCTACATGAGTTGAGAGTACATACAGAATTGTGTCATCAAAATTGGGAGAGGGAACAGTGTTGATGGCTTTCATTCCCCTTATTTGTAAGATTCACCCATGTTTTCTCATGTATCCATAGTTTGTTCTTTTTAACTGCTGTAGGGTAGGGAAATGTGATTATATGTGGTGTATGTGTGTGGGGGGGCGTGTGCATGCATGAAAGGGAGAGGATTGTTTAATCAGTTCTAGGAATTAACAAAAAATATCCAGCTTCAGAAAGGTCAAACAGGTTTCTCGAGCTGCAATAATTTTAAAAAGTGTCTATATTGACAAAGATGAACAGACACACAAAATATTTTGTGTTGAGAGGAAGAACCATTTGTACTAGCCTGGGGTGGGTGACAATTTCTCTATGTAGGATGCGTTGAATCATTTCCACAAACCATGCCAGACCATATCTTATAAACCTGTTGTTAACCCTCCCTCTCATCTCAGAAAAGTAAAATGAGGAAAATTCGAGGTGTGCCTACAAAAACCCTGATAAAAGATCGATGCTCAAAATAAAAGCATTTCATCACTTTCATTTTTAAGAATGGAAAAACAGATATATAGTTGATATTTAGAAAAATCTTATTTGGTAGCTAGACCAAGTAGACACCATGGACTTGGATTTCCCAAGCACAGGTGGGAAATTATGGACTCCCTACCATATTTGTAGCCTGTGGTTACTGCCTGCCTCACCTGGCCCATCCCTTTGGCTAATTGCCTGTGCAATTATTCTCCTGTGTTCACTGCAGAATGACTCCTCTGTCCACCCACAGGAACAATGGTTTTCTCCTACGCTTGGGGATTTTCCTTCAAAGACTATAGACCACTCCCTGAATGATTTTAGGAATGAAACTTTCTTTTCTCAAAAGTAGTATGTGTTCACTACAGAAACTTTAATAGGCAGAGATAGGCGAAATGAATCCAGACAAAAATCACCCAGAATCTGACCAATATTATTTCTTAGCACATGTGTATTATAAATATAAATAACATTTTATTGTGCTGACATTTTATCAAAACAGTTCCTTGTTGGACTTTGAAGCCCTTGTTATTTTTCTGGATATAAACACCACTCCCAAAATTATTCCTGGAAACTGAACATCCTTGGTTTGTTTGTTTGTTTAGTTTTTACTTTATAATCATGAACTTAACTCTACAATCTAGCTATTGGAGGGGAAAAAGGAAAATACAGAACCATAGACCTGCAGTGAGAGCACAAAGATTATAGGCTATTTTGAGCAATTGGTGTGAAGAGGTACTCTCCTGAGCTACAGAAGGAATAGTCTGTTAGTTAAGAAAGCACACAAGTCAAATGTATTAGATTTGCCGACAGTCAGAAGTGGTTTTGCCATTCCTGGACCCAAACCCATCCATGCTTCCACAATATTCATGCTCTTTCTCCCTTTGCCAAAGACCACATGCCAACCAGCTAACCACTCTGTCTTGGCTGCGCAGATGAGAAACTGGGAACTGTTTGGGTTGGGTCCAGCATTCGCCACGGACAAGATGCCCAGACCTGTGTGCTTCAGGATGAAATCCTCAACATCAACTTTGTTGCCATAGATAAACCTGCCCCAGTGCCATGATGGCGTATGAGGTCATCACCCTGGCACAGAAATCCTGGAATAATCCTGTGAAAGCAGGAAACTTTATAACCCAATACTTTCTCCCCAGTGCTCAGAGCACAAAAGTTCTCTGCTGTCTTTGGCACTTTGCAAAGTTTTAAACACACACACACACACACACACACACACACACAGGGCTAAAAAAGATATGCAAACCTTATAGAGAGTTGCTTTTCTGAAAAGTTGTAACAAATCGCATACCTGTTCCCACTATAGATAAGTGTCAGAGGAAACATAGAACTCACACACCTACAAGAAACAAATTGTAGTGAAGGTAACACTCTATCAATTTCCTCAGACTTTAATTGGAGAGATTCCATGTATTTAGGTAGTTATTTATAAATTTGGTAACTATGGTGAATGGATATTCAGAGGGAACTAGCTAACCTTCAGGCCATGTGTGCTACTCAGGTGACTCAGAGTCTACAGGGATCTTACTGTTTTTATGTTGCCAGGTGATAATAAGCTGTTTCTGCACAATCTCTGAGGGAATTTCCAGTCAAATTAAGGGTTTGGAATATTATAGACCCAGAGTGTGGGCTATAAATATAAGTAAGCTAGGATAGAAGGTAATTTGTTTCGGCCGTTTCCTCTGGACAATGCCAATGACTGCTACTAGAGAATTTACAAACTGGGGGAAACTTTGAGTCACTCAAATTTCAGCAGTGGGATGGGATGATCGAGGGTCCCAGGGACCTGTCCAAGGGCCCCTCAGGTGGGTGGACGGGCTGAGTTGATTAGAGGAGACAAGACTCGAGCACCTGGGCAGACAGGGATAGCCGAAGAGGTACAGGGGGCCAAGGAGAGGAGCCAGAAAAACGTGGGTTTTCATGTTAGACGGACCTGGATTCATACCATAGTTCTTACATTTGTTAAAGATAGGCCTAGGGCATATTACTCAACCTCTCTGAGCTTTAACTCTGCACGGTGGAGATAAACACCACTTCCTAGGGCATGCTGAGAGATTACAGTGAAATAAATATGTAGAAACTAACAACAGGGATTCCTGAGAGGCTCAGTTGGTTAAGCATCTGCCTTCAGCTCAGGTCATGATCCCGGAGTCCTGGGATAGAGCCCCATATCAGGCTCCAGCTTGGCAGGGAGTCTGCTTCTCCTTCTGCCTGCTGCTTCCCCTGCTTGTGTACTCTCTCTCTCTCTCTCATTCTATCTCAAACAAATAAATAAAATCTTAAAAAAAAAAAACTACAATAATTGATACATCGGAAGAACCCCAACAAATGGTTGCTGTTACTACTATCAGGATTAATCATAATTTTTTTAAAGATTTTATTTATTTATTTGACACACAGAGAGAGAGAGAGATCATAAATAGGCAGAGCAGCAGGCAGAGAGAGGGGGAAGCAGAATCCTTGCTAAGCAGAGAGCCCGATTCGGGGCTTGATCCCAGGACCCTGAGATCAGGACCTGAGCTGCAGGCAGAGGCTTAACCCACTGAGCCACCCAGGTGCCCCATGATTAATCATTATTATTGCTGTTGCCTTTGAGGATAGATTTGGGGATGGGGCAATCATTAGTACTGATCATTATACCTCTTCTTTGGATTTTCTATTTCAGGGGTTCTACTCTGGTGCCCAAGAATTCCCAAGAGGCCCTTGTATAGATATCTGGTAGAAGGGTGTTAAACTCCAGTGAGAAAAGAATGTCAGTGTTTTTAAACCTGTAATGAAAACGTACTATTTCCTCTGATCTGACTATATGCAATAGCTCACAGTAGTGATCATGCTTTGATGAATGAGACAAAATTACATATTATTTTTGTATCACATTCAAATTGTTGCAGGTTTCTCAAAATATCATTTCGATGGGAATCCTGCTCCAAAAGCACAGTTGTTCTAAGACCAACTCATTAGGCCACTGCTGGAACACATGTGATCTCTGTCTCCCCCTCTATAGATGTTAGGGTGATGAACTGTCAAGGTAACTGTACAATTGAAATAAACTAGCAAGGGAGAAAATGTCCATGACCCTCCACAGGGGCCTGACGCCTGGAGCATCCAGTAGAAAGGAGAGTTACATATGCGGTGTAATGACCTCAACACCAAGTGATGCAGAGCAACAACAATGAGTGGATGGTAGAGAAAGGTAGATGAGGAGGGCGAGGATGAGGCAGAGAAAGTGGGATAAAACACCCAGAAGCCACAAAGCCCCCAGCAATAGGGGCTGTACTACCCACAGGCTGGGGAGGAAAAATAGGGAGAAAAATGGAGGAACTTTAAATAAAGGACAATGAAATTAAACATGGTAGTGGATACTTTATTTTGTTGGATTTCAATCATCAAGTTTTGGGGTTATTTCCTCACAGTCCTCCTGCCCTTCCTCCTCCTCCCCCATTTTCCCATGATGTTGATTAACTGTTTTATTCCGTTTCCCATTTTTTCTTGTCCGAGTATCCAGGCCTTTTTTCTTTTTCCAGACATGCTCCTTGGCACTTGTCTTTGAAGGACAAAAAGTTTTCCACGTGTTAGAGAAAGGTAAGATCTGGCAGGACTCCTGACAACATTGCTGGTGTTGACTCCTTCCTTTAGCTCGGGCATTCTCAACCAGCCGTCCTGCTTTGGGCAAATATCTGTCTCTCGCAAAACTCGGAACAGTTCATAAAGGCCTCTTGTCAGAGATTGGCAGGCATATGAATGGGAAACACCATATAAACAGTGAAAAAAAAAAACCACATCTTTTCAAGTTGTTGGATTTTCTCCTTCATGGTCTTAAAAAGAAACAGTAACTAGACATCTTCCATTTAATAAACCAATGCACATACAATAGAAATGGGAAAATGATATTTATCCTTATAATGCTTCTCAAAAAACATTACTCAGGCCAGAGTTCATCTCAGCTACACTGAGAAGCGACCGTCATTCAGTCAATAAATGACCTCATTTGTTTTCACAGTCCTAAAAAAAAGGTTTGTTTGCTACGCTTGACATCACATGAAGATGCCAGCCTTTATACACATTTATAAAAGTAGAATATGTAAAGTATGATACAGTGGTACAAAGTTTTACAAATTAATACAGTAGAATATATAAATTACAATGAAATAGAGGAAGGTTGTGGTTCTGTCTTGGGGTGGTTCTTTTAGCAGTCATATCGCTGTAAAGAAAATGAGATAGGCATTAGGTCACCAGCAGGCTGAACTAGACGATGATGCCATTTTCGTCCTAAAATTTCCTGTTTGAAGCAGACATAAAGCAGGCTGATGTCAACTTCAGCTGAGAGCCTAGACAATGCCCATGAAATGTTTCCTAAACAAAGGACACCCATTGTCCTCTGTGAGGAAAAGCTGCAGGAAAGGGCTATGAAAATGCAGCTTACCGGTGTTGAGTTGGCTCTGAATGTGTTTGGGGTAGGTTTTTAATCTTAGGGATTTTAGAGATAATGCCACGGGAGTTTCACCCAGGAGTGGGCTCAATGGAGGTAACTTTCCTGATTCAATGCTACCAAGTTACAGACTTGACTCATCTACACTAAAAAACCTTGCCCTTTGAAAGTGTCTTTTGTCTGAGGAACAAAGGTAGCAGATCTGCACTGGCATTTCTGGGAAGAAGACATCCCTACTGTGAATTTCGGATGGGAAACCCAGTAGGACTATTTGCTCACCCCCCAACTCCCCCTACCCCCCACTCTCCTCACCCCACCCCCCAGCTCAGAGAGGAGGGTCACTCTGACAAACCACTGGCAGCAGCTGTGGTCACTGACATATTATGCCTCTTTCCAAAAATGCACAAGGGCTGATGTCCAGCGGGGCCTCATCTAATTTAAACTCTGCCTTGTACGAAATTCAAGGTTGAAGATAGGTTACATTAAAGTAATTCTGAGAGGATTCTTCTCTGCCTCTCCCCAACAATATTGCCTGGAAACAACTCCACACTGAAAGTTTCCCACTGTGTTGTTTTCTTGGAAATATGGCAAGCTCCCAAAGGAAATTTTTAATCTTGCTGTACTCGCCTGATAAGGAAAACTAGATTTTTATTTTAACTTCCCCTCAAAAATTTTAGAAAGTTTCCACTTATTTACAGCAAGGTTTTTCAGGGTAGCAGTGGGCTTTCAGTTTTCATTAGGTTTTGCTTATTTTAAGAGAAAGAGACCTTGAACCAGGGGAGTAAATGATTAGGAAAATAGAAATTAAGTTTCTGTTCACCTAATTCCGTTTTACAGAATAATGCATAAAACAAACAAGCTGGACTTCCATCAATTCATTAATACATGAGGTTTCTTTTTTAGGAAGATATAGAAACAAGAACTTTCCCTGCTACTAACAAATGCATACTTCTCTCTGAAATCATTTCCTCAGGAAACAAGTGCTTCCTGGTTTTCTTTCACCATGAAAGGCTTTTGACAAGCTGCTATTCAAAGGTTACTAGTGATTCTCTGTGCTTAGCTGTCCCGGCATTTTTGTGATGCCTTTTTAGGAAGGAATTGTAAGAGATGCAACAGAACAGCAAGTATTGCGTACAGGCTGAGAGCAGGGGTTGTGGCATAAGATGACCCAGGGTCCGAAGCCTGCTCCTTCCTGACTAAAGGACTGTAGACATATTGCTTAATCCCTGACTCATAGTGGCATCTGAAATGTGAGTGTAGCTGAGCGCCTAGTGCAAGGGACGTTGACTACTATTTGTGTACGCTAGTTGGGAACATGAGAGCAAACACAGTTGTGTCTCTTTGGCTGGAGCCCGTGAAAGGGGTAGTGAGTTTGCTCTTGAAGGAACACTTTGTTTATGGACAGCATTTTTCTTATATACACTTAGCCAACTACAAAAAAACAAGATAACCCAGGGACTATGACACTCAAGGAAGCTTATTATCCAGAGCAAAACCATATGCTGTAAATGCTTTTGCCACAAAGATGGTATAAGGACAAATGCTGGTAAGTTGAGCAGCTTTTAATTTTGCCTTTTTTTCTTTCTGATGAAAACAATGGCATATTATAGTCATTGAATACCCCAGGACCAGGCTGTGACATTTTCACACAGTTTCTTACCTGTTGGCGAGAGCAGCAATAACCACATATTCCTCCCATCACTCCGTTTATTACTTGAATGAGACACAAGATGAATTCAATTCCACCGAGGGCCAAAAGGATAGAAAACAGAGAGACATTCCATTCAACAACATGTCTGGGTTCAATGCACTGGGACCATGTGGAGGTATCCAGAAGGTACCTGCGGATAAAAAAAAGAAACTTCTGTCCCATGACCACACCTAATGGGATGTCTCATAAACTACTTTCTGTGTGGTGCTTTTTCATTCAGAGAAAAAAGAAATGAATTAATTCATTGACCTGTATCAAATTTTTCTAGTCCAAGTCATTTCACAAAGTGAGGAATTTAGCCCAGGTCATGTTGCAATGAGAAACACAAAATTCAGCAAATATTGGGCATTCACTGTGAGTTAGACACTAAGCCCGGGCTGGGGGTATAATGGTGAACATGGCATGGGCTTTGCCTTGGAAATGCAGAGACTCTAAGAGTGGAAACAAGATGCAATCGCATTGTGACAGGTATACTGATCAGGTAAACCAAGTTTGAGGAAGGGCACATAACCTAACCCAGGAGAGTACCTGCTTATATAACTATGCCACAGGTCTGAGCTCCATGAAAATAGGAAGCAGAACTTTCATCATTGTATATATAACCCCTAGACCAGTATCTGGCAAGTAGGTACTCAACACTTTTAAAAGTAATTGAGGGGTGCCTGGGTGGCTCAGTGGGTTAAGCCTCTGCCTATTGCTCAGGTCATGGTCTCAGGGTCCTGGGATGGAGCCCCGCATCTGGCTCTTTGCTCAGCAGGGAGCCTGCTTCCCCCCCCCGCTCTGCCTGCCTCTCTGCCTACTTGTGATCTCTCTCTCTCTCTCTGTCAAATAAATAAATAAAATCTTAAAAAAAATAAAATAAAAGTAATTGAATGATAAATAATCTGAAGTCACTTTGAGAATTACTAGCAAACCATGCTGAAATCACGTATGACTGACTATACACACACATAAGTCATATACATATATACGTGACTTAGGAGATTTTCTAAATACCTGAATATTCTTGCAGTCTGAAAAACTTCAATCTCTGATTATTCTCTTAGAATCTCAGCCTTTGCTACATCATAAAGCATGTGGATCCTTAATGAAATAGGATTCAATCATGTGGGAAAATCTGCAATTGACTTAATTCCACAAAGAGGTCTGGTATAAAACTCTTTTCTTATCAGTTTTTTTAAAACAACAGAACAAAGGGACTTGGAATTAGAGACCTAACTTTGAAAGGCTCATTGAGCCAATCAGAAATTCAATTTGTTGATTTAAAAAAAGAATTCTGTCCTTATGACCCCGTCTTTCTGCCTATCAGTGGAGAAAAGAATTTGTCATTTTAGGACACAACGTAAAAAAATTCTTGAGCCCCACTTGCCAATTGAGCAATTATACACCGGCTTGTGACCATTAGTTACTTCCCATACTGATCTCCTTGGACAGGTTGAAGTGAGGAATGATATAGAAGCAGAAGGTTTTTTACAGAAGTTGGGGTGGGCCAGGGGAGGGGCATACGCTCAAACAGCTGTAAAAATGTTTAGTGATACTTGCCCTTCTCCTCGCATTCCAGCGACATTCATCATGATCAATTTTACAGGTGGGTTTGTACAGTAGTTTGTATGCCTGTGCATATGTGAATAACCAATTTCTACTAATACATTCAGTAGGCTCTGAACAAAGTTGAATCATGATCAATAACCATTTTGACCACCGAAATTTCAAACCCCTCTAAGTGCTAATTTTCCTTCCGAGGCTACCTTGGCTGTATTCATTGTAAGTTAGGAGATAGTATTAACAGCTAACAAAGGCCATGGTCAGACTGTGTCAGTTTCTGTGACAAATACTTTATGTTTATTATCTCATTAATCCTCCTGACAATTGCCCCTGGTTTTATTTGACAAATGAAGTAACTGAAAAACACAGAGCTCAGTCCACTTTATCCTGGTTGCTGAGGGAAAAATGTAGAGCTGGGACGGAATCCAGGTCCATGGAATTCCACATTCATGATTTATGAACTCCCTATATGCTACACAATTCATGGGAGATAAACAGTCTTGATGATATAAAGGCAATCGAAATTCATTATTCATATTACTTTCACTCATGAATCTCATAACTAAGCTTTTCAAAATTCAAAGAAGGATCTCATTCATTCGTCATCATGTACATCAGTTTCTATCAGCTATTTCTGATCTTTCCTCAATAATGGATAAGATAGAAGCATCAACATAAAATAAAAGACCTTAAATTATCCTGATGTTAAAGTCGTGTATCAGACCTGTCTCCTACAGGCTGATCACTTTAAATAAAGAGTTTGTTGTATGTAGTTATTGTCTTATATGTGAGTGTGTGTATGGGAGTTCTATGATCTACCCTGGACTTTGGTTAAATTCATAAGCTTTCCATCCATATTATGTAATGATTCCATAATATTTTCTTATAAAACAGTAAAATCAGCTAATCATTCTGGTATAGTGGACATACTGTATGAGCACAAACTCTATAGCCAGGCTGCATGGGTTCAAATCCTGACTGTCCATGTCCTTCCCAGCAATGTGACTTTGAATAAGTTCCTGCAACTCTCTATGCCTCCTTTTCCTCATCTGTAAAATGGAAGCAATAGTGGAAGTCAACACATCCCTATTAAATTTATCCCTAAATTTATGATGAGGGCTGAATCAGGGAATCCATTAAAAAGCACGGAGAGCTTCTCCGGGTCGGGGATCCACGCTCTGACACCACCTGGTGCCTGAGTCAGTGCAAAGACACCTGGCTGAGTGGACAGACGCTGGGCTGACCACTGCCCGTCTAACCTGTTGGGTTTGCCACTGTACCAGGCAGCGGTGAGAACGCGTGGCCCGACGGGAAACCATTACTCACTGTCCATCGGTGTTGGCAAAGGTGTAGTTCCACTGGCCCGAAGAATTAAGACATTGTGGTCCTTCCGCCAAGCCCAGGGCTGCCACAATGACACAGTAGCCAGATCCCGCGACTCCGATCAGAGCAGCCAGGACAGAAGAAAACATCTGGCGAGAGCAGAAACGGAGGAAGTGAGCCCGCGAGGCCCCGGCCGCCTCCCAAGGACTGTTTCCACCCTGGGAGCTGGAACACCTACCGCGCATCTCTTGCCGCAGTTGTCGTGGCCACAGCAGCCGCAGCAGTCGTCCTCTTCCAGCCCGATGAACACAAATGCCGGCAGGAACATCTGGTTGGAAAACAGGGAAACAAACTTCACCGCCTTCCCCCCAAATCGAAGCCTGTCATAAGGGTCCGGCTAAGTATCTTTTGCTAGAATATATTTCTTTTTGACAGTAGTGGATGGCTTTGGGTTCGCTTGCCCGAGGCTCTCAAAGAATGTAAAACCAGAAGGAGCACAAAAGCCCTCTAAGTGGAGTGCCTGCTTGTTTGCCTGTAATGTGTCTTTAGGGTGAGTGTGCAGGACGGGAGAGCTCAAATAGTAACCTATGAAAGAGTTTCTTCTACAAGAGTTCCTAGCACTGTCCCTCAGCTCTGGATGAAACTCTTAAACTCTGTCTTCAAATCTGATTTTTTCCCCCTTGCAAAACTTAGATGATACTAACAGTCTTTCATAGAATAACTGAAATTTTTCATAAATGGGAGAGATGAAGACACCATATAGTAAGTATGAACTGCTTCTTTGATGATACTATTTTACGATTGTGACTTCACAATAAAGCTCTTTAAATAAAGTATGAAGTACTCTGAATTTGAGATCAAAAGAAGCTTAAACAGGTGCGATGTTACATGAAGGACAAATGATTATGTGAACATGATAATAAAGCTTCATAATAATGTATTCAATTTAAATGTTATAATGTCTTTTCCTGGCTAAGAAAAATATTCTGTGTGGTACTAGCGATTCCATAAAATGTCTTTCTAGCACTCTCAATCCCAGCATTTAAAGTGGCAAACTTGAGTTCATCCACATTCTTTCCATGCTGTGGTTGAAGTTAATACTTTCAGCTCCCAGGTTGGCAGGCAAATTCCTCTCACTTCAATTAAAAACAAACCTTGGAAAAAACAACACATTCCACTGTGAGCTTCAGACCCTGATCTGCTGCTAACTGTAGGATTTTTCCTAGACACCACACCCAGGATTACATAAAGGAGAAAATTTATAGTTCTTTCTGAATAGCAATGCACTCATAACTCATGATTTTTTTTTTCTGCCATAGACGCCTGAGAATAAACAGCAGAGAATTTGGATCCAAAACTGTTGATTTAGACAGAGAACCAGCGGCGTCCTCCACCCCCCCAGAGTAAATGTTAAATGCCCACCCCGTCCAGTACTAGAAACTCTATAGTGTCTCAGATCTGATTTAAAAGCTAATATCTGTTTTCTAACTGTAAAGTAAGAGAGGATAGCAAAAAGGTAGTCCACTGTTAGTTGAAAGAGGATTTTGTAAACCGTCTAACAAAATTAATACACCAGACCTATCGCAACTTTGGTGTGATCTGCTTTCCAAAGAACAACAAACAGAAATAACTGGATTTGGAAGGAGGCACTGTAGAAACATTTCCATGAGAACCCCTCATTAGCAGAAGAGAATAGTTTAAGCTTCTAATAATTCTGAACAACTTACCAGCAAGCCCCCTCCCACGATGCCGGAAAAGAACCACACGAAGCGGCTGAGATGGTTTTCAGAGGCATATTTTGTCTCCCCATTGGGAAAGTAAAGCACGATATTAGCAACAATGCAGAGGATGGCCAGCCACACCAGGGAATGTCCAATGCATCGTGCACATCTGCCGTAGCACATGGTGGCAGAGAGTCTGGGAGGCTTTCTCCCTTCCCTCTGCAGCTCAGTGAGGGCCCGAGTCAGAGGAGAGTGTGCCTGTCTGAGAAGAAAGCAGAAGCAGTTCTCAGCCCATTCCTGAACCTCTTAAATACTCTGAGTTCTTAGTCACTGGGTGGGTGAGGTACTTTGCTTTCATTGGTCCTGATCGCAGGCTCCCATTGGGGTTGGTGAGGGGGGGAAGGCAGGGGGAATGTCCCGCCCTTCCGATGAAATCCTTGAGACAAGCGAAACCAGGGTAGGACGTGAGAAACAGCCTCAGTCATGGGCAAGGAAGAAAATGATTAATCTTCACCAAGACATTCACTGTGCTATTCCTTCACAGGACAAAGAGCTGACAGGGGCGTCTGATACGACTTTCTAGTAACTGTCGAGTGTCTGCAGCTGACCGAGCCGGTGGAGGCTTTGTGAGGCAGTGAGCTGGGATCCTGCCCCACGCAGCTCTCTGGACAGCTTCCAGTTGGACGGCCCCGTGTCCACTTCCACTTTTACCCTGGCTTAATTCCAGACCTGGGGCTCTCCTGAGCCCCGAGGTTGTCTCCTTGTCTGTGAAAGACGAGGGGACCGCCAGCCATGCCCCCACAGATTTGAGGAGGCTGTTGGGAACATTCCTGAGCCATCTTCTTTCCTCTGCCTACTGCGTGCTTTGCAGGACGGCTCCAACTGTCCAGCTTTCCCTGAGAGCTGCCTCTAACACAAATCTGGCACCAAAACAAAGGTGGCATTTGTCCACACAAAGGGCTCGGGCACCTTTTTATTCCTGAGGATTGCTCTCAGGCAAAGGGATCCCGGGAAGGGCCAAGGGAGGCCTAAAGCATGGGGAAAGGTTAAAAAGAAAAAGAAATTAAAAAAAAAAAAAAAAAAAAGGAAAGGAAAGAAAAAGAGAAAGGAACAGAAGAGAAAGGGACTTGGCAAGCAGAGTGGAGGTGGGGGGCTAGACAGAGAGAAACTGGAAAGAGTGGGGATGCACAGTTGTTGGTCAGGACTCAGGGTCTCCCCGTGGTCCACCAGCCAGCACCTGAGCCTGCTGTTGAAGGCGGAGGAAGGGTGTCACGCAGACTTTCTTACACAGCTGTCTTGCATCCTTGCAGAAGGAGGGGTCAGACTCCGAAGAAGTTCAGCCCTTGAATAGCAGGTTGTGCAGGCCAGATGGGCTGGGGGAGGATGGGGTGACAGGTGGGGCCAGGACTAGAGGGGCCCTGTCCCCGGGACAGAAGAGGGAGTGAAGAGGCGAAAGGCCCAGATGGGGGGGGTGTTAGTTCCGAAGAGGAAGGTGAGCAAGGCGGGGGGATCTGGGAGCTCGGGCTGCGGCCAGAGGCTGAAGGATTTGGGCCAAAACTGGAGGGCAGGACACATTCCAAATGTGAGGAGGCTCACTGGGGTTAGTCACAGAATCGGGATTGGGAGGAACATACTAACAAAGGTGGGGCCATGATCCAGACTGGCCTGAGGAAAGAGGTGGATAGAAAAGAAAGCGCAGGCGGGGAAGGCTGGAACCACCCGCCTGCTCAGGTATAGGAAGACAGATTTTTACAAGAAACGTCACTCCGTTACCACCATGTACCTTCTGTCCTGGCTTTAGGTCCTCATGGAGCGAAGAGTCCACGGTATCAGGGCCTGGGGTGGTATCCAGGTGAGTGCCTAGGCCCTTTGTTAAGGCATCATCATTGCAAACCTCCATTCTGCTGATCTCTCCCACCTGGGGCCAAAATGGGGCGAGCAACCCTGTCACGACTTTGCTCCTATGTGCTTAATCGCTTTCCCCCTTCCCCCTCACCCCTACGGTCAGCAGGGTGTGAAGGAGAGAGTGAGGGGCAGGCAAAAAGTGTGGAGTGACAGCCCACCTCTGCTGTTTTCCTATCTGGGGGCTCAGGCAAGTCATCACATTCGTGGGACCCTGTTTTCTACTCTATACAACACGGGGCAGGACTAGATCAGCTGTTCTTGAGATTTTGAGGTTATGGACCCTCTCCCCACAACCCAAAAATATACAGGTATGCAAGCACACACACTTCATTCCATTTCAGGGGTTCCAGGGGTTCCCTGAAGCCCGTTAGTGATTCGCTTTCACACTTTGCCAGGTGGGCCCTATCTGGAGACCATCAGCATCACAGGTGCAGACACTTGGTCCGCTCTCAACACAGTAAATACGAATCATGGGCGACGAGGCCCCGTCATCTGAATTTCCTTACGAACATTCCAAATGAGTCTTGTGTTTCGCTCAGGTTGGGGATCACCAGCCTGGTCCACGGGCCAAGTAAATATCATGTGTAGTAGATGTTCCCCAAGGCCACTCCCACCTCCAGTGGTTCCTCAGCTCCGGGCAGAAATACAGAGTGTGCATGGATCATAGAGGACACATTACACATCCGTGTCAATCCCTTGCAGGCTTGGGCTGACCAAATTCACTTGTAACATGGAGTCCGTCCACCGTGCCCAGACTCCTGTCATTCTACACAGTACCTTCTGCTTCTGCCCCAAATCAGGGTCCTTTTTGCGTTAGGTTCCTGGTTTAAGACCAGACATGTTTTTCAGGACAATTGTTTAACCCCTTGGCTCTCATCCTAGGCAAACTTTGCCCTACAGGCCTTTCTCCTGGCTGTGAACACTCAGCTTCCTGGGCAGAGCTGTGATCTCCATGGACACTTTCTGGGTTCCATCCCATTCTCCAAACCCCATCCCCAACCCTGCCCCAACTTCTGCTTCCCCCACTCCCATCGTCTTTGTTCTAAGCATTATCTTCTCTCAGAGCTTCCTGCTGCACGGTTCTGCTCATACATCCGCTCAAAGAGGCCGTCTCCAAAGACCCCATCTAATAGTGGGAGGCCCCCTCCCCCAGCTACTCTTCATCACATCAACTTGTTCTATTATCATCCCAGACTTTATCATCCCTGAAATGTTGCTGTATATTCATTTACTCGTGTCTTTTTCTGTTGTCTGTCTCCCCTCCTCTGAGTGGGGAACCCTTTTGGCCTTGTCCACCCTTGCTTCCTGTGGCCTGGAACAATGCCTGCTACATGGTAGAGAGTCAGTAAATGTTTGCTGAAAAACTAACTGAATAAATAAATGAACTGATGCATTCTTAAGCCTATTCTTACCGGGCTGATGCTCCAGACCCTCCACCTTCAATCCTGTTATGCTCCTTTGAGAACCTCACTAAAAACCCCCTTTAGCTGTTCATACCATTGCTCCCAGGTCCTGCCACTGCTGGACTGGTTGGGGCAAGTTATTAACCCTTCTGTGTCTCAGTTTCTCTCCTTCTTTTCCAGCAAGATTTCTTGAGCTCCTACTATGTTTTCTAAGTTCTGGGTATATACATAGCAGTCAACAAAACAGACAAAAGTCCCTGCCCTTAAAGCGAGTTCATTCTATCAGAAAGCAAGAGACAAGTACAACACAATATTAAATAAATAAAATACCGGGGCGCCTGGGTGGCTCAGTGGTTAAGCATCTGCCTTCAACTCAGGTCATGATCCCAGGGTCCTGGAATCGAGCCCCACATTGGGCTCCCTGCTCAGCGGGAAGCCTGCTTCTCCCTCTCCCACTCCCCCTGCTTGTGTTCCCTCTCTCGCTGTCTCTCTCTCTCTCTGTCAAATGAATAAATAAAATCTTAATAAATAAATAAATAAATAAATAAATAAAATACCTTGTGCATTAGTGATAAGTTCAGGAAAGGGGACTAGGTGAGGGAGGGAGACAGCCTCCTGAAACAGGATAATAATAGAACCTACATCACAGAGTTGATGCACAACGTGAGTTGATGTGTGCAAAGCATGGAATGCCTGGCATTTAGCGATCACTCAATAAATGCTACTTATTATTACTTACTCTTTTCATCAGCCCACTGTCCCAGGCAAGATGTCTCTACTCCCTTTATGATATAGCTACCTCTCTGGGATCCCATCACTCCAATATGTATTGGATCCCTTTGTTGTCTTTTGTGATTGATTTTTAGATACTGGAGTTCCCACAGTGTTATTAAAAGTTCACTTTTACCTCCCTTGTTCCCTCTGAAATCAGCCTCAATGCACGAATGAATACCTTGGAAAGAGTGGTCTTTACTTTGCCACAGGACTGCCGGTCTCAGAGCACTGGACACTGGTTCTCAGCCCCATGTTTTGGGTATGCTGTCCCACTGCCAGAAAGGCCCTGTTCTTCCTTCTCACCATGGTCCACCCCACCCGGCTTTGTTCCCTCTGCTGAACTCATCACTTTTTCCATGACACCTTCTATCGTACCCTGCCTGCCTCCTTCCTAGACCTGCTCATCACTCCTACGCTGTCCTTTTACACACCCCCATCCAGCACCAATCAACCACGATACACTGATGTGTATCTTTATCACCTTTCAATAATAAGTGCTAAATTATTCAAATAAATAGGGGAGTTGAATATGTTCTGTTCTAAGGTTATTTGCTTTGAAGCAAAGCCAAAATGTCTTATGGAAAGTTAAGCAAAATTGGCACTTGTTACATTAAAAATTTTTTTGTAAGATTTTACTTATTGATTTGAGAGAGAGAGAGATCATAAGCAGAGGGAAGAAAGAGGGAGAAGCAGACTTCCTAATGATCAGAGAGTCAATGATGGACCCAGTCCCAGGACCATGGGACAATGACCCAAGCCAAAGGCAGATGTCCAACCGAGTTACCCAGGCACCCGTTACATTTAAGTTTTAAAGTGTTCAGTTTTGGGGCGCCTGGTGGCTCAGTGCGTTAAGCCTCTGCCTTTGGCTCAGGTCATGATCTCAGGGTCCTGGGATCGAGTCCCGCATCGGGCTCTCTGCTTGGCAGGGAGCCTGCTTCCTCCTCTCTCTCTCTGCCTGCCTCTCTGCCTACTTGTGATCACTGACTGCCAAATAAATAAATAAAATCTTAAAAAAAAATAAAGCGTTCAGTTTTACCTGTCATTCACATGAGCAGCTGGTGTGACTTCTTATGGTGAGCTCTCTTGACCATTTGATATGTAGAATGTGGCTTCAAGAATAATTCCAAGGGAAATTCCTTTTGATCATATCAAGTACCATAGACAGAGGTTTTTTTTTTTTTTTTTAATTTTATTTTTCATAAACATATAATATCTTTTTATCCCCAGGGGTACAGGTCTGTGAATCGCCAGGTTTACACACTTCACAGCACT